GTCTAGCATATCACACCCTTTCCCCACCTCACCCCCGTATGGGTTCTGCTGGGTGTTCAAACGCTGAAATTAGTACTAAAGTGCAAGTTGGTAAATGGTCACTGTCTACATCCCCTGAGTGACCCTGCCACCACCGCAGCTGGCCCAACCCTGCCCAGGTACCCTAGGACCCATGATCTGGCAACCAAAGGGCTAATGCCTGACACAGCAGGGATCTCCCAGCAAGGCCCGACTGAGCAATGCCCAGTCTTAATATTCTGACTCTCACCCCTGGGTGGAGGACTAGCCCATAGGGCCCTGCTATTGCAGGGGTAAGAATGCAACCTGGGCCAGTTGTCACCTGTCTCCCTCTGAGTTCTCCCTCCCTACTACTCTGTCCTCTGAAGGTACCAGGGCCCTGTGCTGCTGATCCGAAGAACCAAGGATGAAATCATCACCACCACGTGAGTGCCTGGGAACCTCTGCCCTCCTGGATCCAGAGAGTGCCCCTCCCACCTCTGCCCACAGAAACCCAGGTATCCAGACCCTTCCTCCCCGGCCTCCAGCCTCTCCAGTGTCTATTCTTCTCACCCCCAGGGTTCCTGAGGACATCATGTCCAACCGAGGCAATGACCTCCTGCTGAAGCTTCTGCAGCATCGGTGAGAGCAGTGTGTATGTGTGTATGTGTACACACATGTACACACACCAGCACAGGGAGGGAGAGGAGGAGGTTCATGGATGAGGAATGAAGAGAAGCGGGTCCTGACCTCCAGTCCTGACGCTCCCTCTGTAGGTATCCTCGTGTGATGGCAGATGAGGGTCTTCGAGTGGTGAGGCAGTGGCTGGAGGCCTCCTCACAGCTGGAGGAAGGTGAAATGGGATCTGGTGAGTCTTTTGAGTGGGGGCTTGGCAAGGCCAGGTTGCTGACGGACCCTCATCTCTCTCTCTGACCAGCTTCAATTTACAGCCGATGGGAAGTGGAGGAGGATTGGTGTCTGTCTGTCCTCCGCTCCTACCAGGCAGAACATGGGCCTGACTTCCCCTGGAGTGTGGGTAAGGAGGCCCTGGGGCAGGAGAGACAGTTGGGAAGAGCCCAGGAAAGGGATGAATACCCAGATGCATGGCCTGTGTTTGAGTGCCTCTCCTCTGCAGGGGAGGACATGAGTGCAGATGGAAGGCGGCAGCTGGCTTTGTTTCTGGTGAGTTCAGGGGTGGGGAGCGTGAAGGGGGTGCCTGAATGGCTAGGAGGTGCATGTGAGGCTTGGGAACAGGGAATACCCTGTAGGTACTGCAAGTGGCAGCTTTTACAGAGTGAGTGGTGGGTTCGGAGGGTGTGTCGAGGTGTCCAGGGGCTGTTGCTCATTGCAGTGCTCTGCACCCCACCTGTCCTGCCCTCTTTCCTCAGGCTCAGAAGCATCTGCAGAACTTTGAGGCCTCACACTGCACCCCATTCCCAGCCCAGAACTTCCAGATGCCCTGGCACCTCTAGGGACCACACTGGGACTCATTCTGGAAGAATGGGATGCGAGGAGACATGAGGAAGGACCCTCTTATTTGTGATTTTCTGTGTTCCATGTTGCTGTTTATAGTTTGTGGAAAGTGGGGGACCATCCCCCTTCTCACTGTTCCTTTTGCACGTTTCCCCTCATCCATCCAGCAATACCTAACCTTCCCCGACACACATCCTGCATTAAATGAATGGATTATCCCTAATAATTAATAAAAAGGTATTTTTTCTACCGGCTGGCTAACTGTGTGACTTCCCAAGTGTCCAGGGAGGCAGGGGCTGGTAGTGGGGAGAGCTGAAGCCCGAAAGGACTGGGCTTTCAGAGGCCCCAATTCCAGATGGCCAGTTTAACCCTCCCCATCTCTGCTGTCCCCCCAGGCCTTCAGCCCCCAACCTGAGCTATTCTCATGCGAGGGGTCCCCAAGCTTCACCTGGTAATGTCACCACCAGTGAGGCTCCCTGGCCCCTGCCTCAGTCCTTGCTGCATTTAACCCTCTAGGAGCCCATGGGCTGCCCCCTCTTGCTTCCAAGTCATGAACTTTGTTATTTACAAAGTGTTCTCTAGTACCTGCTTTCACCATCTCAGCTCCTCTACCCATTTCCAGGTCTAACCTGCATGGTTTCACCATCAGTACTCCGGATTTTCTTTGCTCGGCTCTTGCTATTCCCATGGGGAGTGAGGAACAGCCTGCTCCCCGTGTCTTATGCAGCAAACCCTGCACACCACCTTCACCATGTCATCAAGTCTCTCTCCTCACATCCCTTTTGCAGTTCAACAAACACAGGGCCTGCCAGGGACTGAGGGCTGGGTGCCAAGGACTCATATCCTCCCAGAGCGACATTTTGCCTTTTTGGACAGCTGTTAGAAGAAAATCCTTAGGTTGAACCTGAGGAAATTGGTTCCCTGTAATTTCTGTCCTACTTCTAATCCTTGGACCTCATGGAACAGAATGAAGCCCTCTCCCACCCATGAGCTGCCTGGCCACCTTCTTCGCTTGGAAACCTCTTTTGCAGATGAAACATCTCAGGTTTATTACCTATAGTCCACTGTTTTGCACAAGATGCTTAACGTGGGCAACAATGTTCTCATGTCCTGGATACAGTCCCTGGCTAATTCCAGTGTCTCCTCCAACTCCAGTGCATAAAGCTCCTCTGCAATCCCCAAGGCAGAGGCTGTCTGCCCCCGCCAGCTCAGCACTCAAGGGGAGGCATTCTGAGTCTCTGTGGGAAGCGGTGATCTAGGACTTGTCAGGTGATATGACACTTGATATTTGGGGTTGAAAGAGAGGAGGTGGCCACAGCTCCAAAATGTTCCACCCTTAGCAAATACTTGAGAGCTGATACTGGCGCCTTTCTCCTCCTTTCTAGGTTCACAGAACCTGCCAACTTTCTATTCAAGGGTTTCTACTCAACTAGAGAAATCTCCGCAAGAGGATCTGTAAGCATAAGTTGTCAAGCATAGCTCCCCCTCAAACGCATTTGCCAAAATAGTTGGCAAAAAGCATGGTACATGGGGGTATATGAGAAAACTCTGAACTGCTCTCTGAGGTTCCTGATTCCTAATAAGTATACCCCACGTCAGTGCTCTTCAGTGTTAGTATGTTCTTCTCTGATTTGTTCTCTAGATAGTTACACACAGAAAAGCACCACTGCTCAGTAGGAACACTGAATAATTTATAATTTTGGCTTAGTTTCTCAAAAGGCCCAGAGGAAAAAAAAGAGTGATATTTCTTCTGTTTTAGATATTCTTTAAGAGCTCATTCTAGTGCCTGCTTGGGTAAATAAATAAGCAGTTGTATGTTTCATTCTTAGGACTGGTAGAAACTATAGAAGATTGAAGCTAAAAGCATTACCATTCAGGTGCACTTCCTCTACCTTTTGGCTTAAAGCTGTAGATGATCCATATTTTATGTTGTGTGTGATTAAAATATCTTATTAAAAAGCTACCACATTTTTAAGAGTATTTCAGTTATCACTGTTAGGTTGGACAACCATGAAAATTCCCCACTAAGTGCATATCAATAGTGAAGAAAACATAGCAAAAAGAGACATATGCTCTTCTTGATATTAATAGCAAGAGTTAAACATTTTCCAAGTCCAACTAGAGTAAATGACCAATGCTTCCTACTTCCTGCATAGGGTTCACATTTACTATTTTCGCGGGATTATCACAGACCACTTGGAGTATATATGTAGTACGTCATGATTTACCCTGTGTATTTAGATGTGTGGAATATCTGTATCTGCTATTGGAAGTTATTTTCTGTAATGGACGGGAAAAGCAGTATTACTGCCTCTGGGCCCTCAACCCCCAACCTCACAGCAACTACTCTTCCCACTGCATGCATCTGTCCACATGGCTAACTTTTAATATGTATATTTTTACATTATGTAAATTCTTAATCAGCCTCTCTTGTTTAGATTGTACACATCATTATATCGGACATTCTTGTAATTACTGTGTGATCGATAGGATTCCTGTAAGAAATTCTGTTTTTTAAAAGAACGAAAATACCACGCTGAGAGAGGTGACATATCCCTCATTAGTGGGTGATCACTCTATTTACAGGATCTTTAAAACAAGTACATTTTTAACAAACTAAGGTGAATAAAGGCACAACTAAAAACCGTCAACAACAACAACAACAACAACAAAGATACCCTCTCTAGTTTCTTTCCAGACTGCAGCTCAGGGCCGCTCCCCTTCAAAACTTGGTTCTCGCCTGGCGTGTTATCTATAGCCCCGTCCCACTCCCCTAACTGTGGCATTCCATCCTCAGGCCCAACCTCCTTTGTTTCATACGGCTGCTGACCCCCAGGTATCCCCTTTCCCGGGGGAGGGGCATTTAGCATGGATGGCGTCATAACTGCTGTCACCATGGCAACTGTTGCAACGCCCCGCCTCTTCACCCCAGGAATGCCTCCAAGGAGCCGTCACCATGGCAACGAGCTCCCGAGGCTCGTAGTGCGTACTGGCCGCGCCCTGCCGCGTGGACAGGGGAGGAGCGAAACGAAACAAGGGCGGGATTAATGACCCTGAGGCCACTGCCCTTCCGAAGAAGGCCCGGCCCCGAAATACCAGCGTGTTTTCCTTCCCGCTACCCTGAGGGTCTTGGGCGCTGTAACTCTGCAGCAAATCCTCCTGGACCACTCAGGGCGACCCCTTCAGGGAGCCCAGCCTCAGCCACCCACAACCCCCTAGCCCTTGGCCTTTTAGTTGCGGTTGTGTTCGAGAGAGAGTTTTAGAGGGCGCTGAGAGATTGCCTTCTGCCTCCCCTTTGCCCTCTTCGCTTCAAGAGGAGCCCCCGCCCTCTGATTCGTTTTGTCTATCACTCTGTCACTCATTGAGCAGACATTTATCTAGGTGCCAGGCGCTGCTCCCCAGTTCTCCATTACTTTGCCTTTTCTCTAATCCAATTTTCTTATTTCATTCATCCCAAGGTTCTCGCGGGGCGCGCATTGGCGTGCGTTTTCCTCTCGTGTTTCTTCTTTCTCGGCCGTCTTTCTTAGCGCCTGTCTCCGTCCGTTTCTTCCCATCTTCCCCATCAGCATGGAGACCAGAGGATTCTTGGATAGTCTGGGACGGTAGCAGGGAGCCCCTCCTGCAGGACCCCGCCACAAACCTCTAGACCGGACATCGGAGCAGATGGTTCGCTCTTGGGCCCCGAGGCTCTCTCATAGTCCACCGACCATTAAAGTAAAAGCTCTAGTCTCTCACAGACAGACTGACGTAGCGAGGTGTGGAGAGAGCAGGCGAGGGAGGGAGCCCTGCAGACCCGCATTAGAGTCTGCAGTGAGTGAGAGCACCTGGGGCCCGCCCGCGGCCGCTCATTGGTTGCTTCGCGGTCTCCGGAATCCCGGCCTGGGAGGGATGATGGCGCCACAGCGCCACCTTCCGGGGAAGCCGCGTAATGCTCTGAGTGTCCGCTGGGGCCGGATGCCTGAGTCCCGACGCGGGGCACGCCCTTGGCAGGTTTCTTGCCAGCCTCCCGGCGGAGAGCTGAGCTTGGACTGGGGGCCGCCCCCGCGTCCTGCCCGGAGCTCTGAGGTGCAGTCAGGCGCAGAGAGCGAGAGCACAGCGCCGGAGACTGTGGGCGCCGGAGATGAGACCCATTGACCTGCAGCTGAGCTTAGGCTGGGCGGGAAAAAGGGGGCATAGGGAAAGGCTCTGTCTTCCCGCAACCCACAGAAAGCACCGGACTGACCACGGTCACTCCATACCTAGGTGTCCTCACTTGTCGATTTCTGATAGTGCCATCTTGGAAAATAGTATCAGTTACCCTCTTCTGCAATCCTATTCCCCTTCCTCACCCCACATTCACTCTAACTCCAAATCTGTCGTCTTCCTTCTAAATCTATCTCAAATTCATTCACTTGTCTTCCCTGCCTCTCTTCTGCGAGACCAGGCCGCCATCTTGTGACTAGACTCGGGAATAGCTTCCTAACTGGTTTCCTGGCCTCAGTAATCTTTTATGAACAGAAACCTAAACATGTTACTCCTCTGTTGAAATCCTTTGGTTAGTAGTTTCCACTGCCCAGGCGCTCCCGGGAAGCACTCTGCCCCCTCCCCTCCCTTTGATCATTGCTTGTTGACTTGTCTCCCCCACTAGACTGTGTGCTCTGTGAGGGCAGGGGCTTTGTACAACCAGGGACCAACACCTGATGCAATGATTCAATAAACATCTGTTGAATTAATATGAATTAATATGAAAGATCCCCCCTGATTCCTCTGTTGCTGGGCCCCTGTCCCCAAACCAGGATGTAGGGCCCCAGAGTGGCCGTGGGTGAGGACACTCTGTCCCTGGCTGTTCTGGCACTGATTTCTATCCCAAACAGGTGTTGCCTCTCTCCTTCCTCTTGGTCAAATTCTCTTCCACCAATATAAGCCCAAACCGGAGGCTGGTGGACAGTCATGCATTTTATGGCAGGCTCTGCAGGTAGCCGGAGTCTTGGGCCCCTGGGCCTCCACAGCATCCCCCAAGCCCTGTACATGGTCCTTTTAATAGTGTCGGTCATGAAGAGCTTGGTGTTTGGTAAGTGGCTCTAAGGGATCAGAAGGGTCTCATGGTCAGCTGGATGTACCACGTGTCTGGGTACATCTGCCTAGGATGCTCAGGTAAACCCAGGCAGGAGGAAAGATGGGATGGTGGGCTTGGTGGGACAATGCCTGGGAACTGATAATGAACTGATGTTCACTCTGAGGGAGATTTCTTAGTGACCACCCCAGGGCTGTCTCACTCAAGAGCAGTGACTTGAATGGAGATACCTGAATGGAAGCAATGGAGGAGATACTTGAACGGAGATTTGAAGATTCAAATCTGAGGGCAACACAGAATAGAGAGGGTTCAGGGCACACGCTAGATGACAGCACCAGGATGCACAGGGTAGAACAAGGCTGAATCCAGACTGATAACCTCCTCACTTTGCTGCAAAGCATCCTCTACGTAGAAACAGGATTCAAAGTGTTTGTTCAGTATCTGCCTCATGCCCAGGGTTCTGCTGGGTCTGAGGACTCATTAACATGTGGTCTGGGCCTGGGAGCAGAGGAAGAGGGAGATATGTATGCATGTAGTTGGGGGGAGCTTTGGTGGACAAACTTTACTGGAAGTCTGTTCAGTGATAGGACCACCAAACGAAGAATGCGGGCCTGGGCTGCTTGAGGTCTCCTGTCTACACAAAGCAGAGTTTCTTCCTGTCCTGTGCTGACACACTCTTGTTTTTCCTACCGAACATTATCAGTTAAGAAAGCATATTCAGGGGCCAGCTCTGTGGCATAGTGGTTAAGTCCTGCATGCTCTACTTCGGCAACCCAGGTTTGCTGGTTCAGATCCTGGGCACTGACATACACCACTTGTGAAGCCATGCTGTGGCAGCATCCCACACACAAAATAGAGAAAGGCTGGCACAGATGTTAACTCAGGGCTAATCTTCCTCAAGCAAAAGAAAAAAAAAGAGGTGGTGTAGTGGTTAAGTGTGCATGCTCTGCTTCAGCAGCTTGGAGTTTGTGGGTTCAGATCCCAGGCACGGACCTACACACCACTCATCAGGCCATGCTGTGGCAGCATCTCACATACAAAATAGAGGAAGATTGGCACAGACTATTAGCTCAGAGATAACCTTCCTCAAGCAAAAAGAGAAAGATTGGCAATAGATGTTAGCTCAGGGACAATCTTCCTCACCAAAAAAAAAAAAAAAAAGAGGACGAAGATAGGCAACAGACATTAGCTCAGAGCCGCTCTTCCTCACCGAAAAAAAAAAAAAAGAAAAAAATTCAAAAGAGAGTCCAGGGGTGGGTGAGGGACTGTGAAACCAAGTCCCAGAGGAAGAACAGTCCTAACAGGGCTGCTCAAAGCTGGAATGGGCTGCCTTGGCCTGATATTTGAACTTAGAGGCTTGCAGAGTGTGGGGCACACGTTAGCCCCTCAAATACATGTTGAATGAATGAGTGAATGAATTAACAAGTGCCTCATTTCAGGAGGTATAACAGCAGAGAATGGGGATTTTTCACGAAGGACTAAAGCTTCTGATGGAAGATTAAGCCAGATGGTTTTAAAGAATTGGTGATTTTACAGTTTTCTGAGATGGGTAGGTGGGGAGGGAAAAGTAGGGTTGACCAGCCTGGAAATTAGGTGGACAGGGGTTTGGGGTCAGTGCCTCTCTGTTTTAGGTAAATTTGATCTTGTCAATCAAGAACCCCCTCATCCAGTTCAGTACCCCAAATACCTGCGCTGCTATCGATGCCTCTTGGAAACCAAGGAGTTGGGGTGCCTTCTGGGATCTGACATCTGCCTCGTCCCGCCTGGCAGCAGCTGCATGACTCTCTTCATAAAGAATGGTAAGCTGCCTTTCCCCATCCACCTTTGGCCTGCTCCATTCCTGAACTGACTCTCTACCAGCCTTCTAAGCTGCACCCTAAGTCTGGTTCCCACAACCCTAAGATACTGTTCATCACTGTCTTTCTCTTTCCTCTCCTTCAGAGCCACTGTCTCCACGTATTCCCCCTTCCCTCAGCCCACAGCCGATTGGTTTCCACCCTCCTCACAGCACTCAGCCTTGTAGGGGACCCTTGAGGTCACTAGACCCACTGGCCTTGCTTCAGGCTGCCTTCTCCCCATCTGTTAGCACTAGTTCCTGCCAACATTACTCTTCTACATCTTCCACTGCTTCTTTCCAGTCTCCTTCTCTGAGTCTTGCCTTATTCCCCTTGGCCCCTAACGGTTCATGTTCACCAAAGTTTAGGCCTTTGCTGTCTTCCTGCTTTACTCTCCCCAGAGAATTTTATCTGCTTCCTTGGCTTCAACCAGCAGCCACACACTGCTTCCTCTTGAATATGAATGTGAGGCCAAACTGTCATGTCACATTGCCCTCTGGACATCACCTCATTTTCAACTTGCCAAAAGTCGACCACATTGGGGTCTGCCCGGTTGCATAGTGGTTAAGTTCACGTGCTCTGCTTCGGGGGTCTGGGGTTGGCAGGTTCAGATCCCGGACAGACCTAGCACTGCTCATCAAGCCACGCTATGGCAGCGTCCCACATAAAACAGAGGAAGACTGGCATAGATGTTGGCTCAGCAACAACGTTCCCCAAGCAAAAAGAGGAAGATTGGCAACAGATTTTAGCACAGGACCAATGTTCCTCATTAAAAAGAAAATCGACCACATTCCCTTGTTCCTCAGGCCTGCTCACCCATCTGATCCCTCACCTTTTTCAAGTTAACAAACAGATAACACATAGTGTGTGCCAGGCCCTGTTCTAAGCACTTACAACCCTCTGAGGTGGGCATTATTATTATCCCCACCCTACAGAGGAGGAAACAGAGGCATAGAAAGGTCAATAACTTGCCCAAGTCTCCTAGAGGCTGAGTCACAATTTGTGATGGCTCCAGAGATGGTGCTCTTAACAAGCATGGCATGGAGCTGTGTTTGTCAAATCCTTTCATACACTTTTTATTTTTATTTGAGGAAGATTAGCCCTGAGCTAACATCTGCCAATCCTCCTTTTTGCTGAGGAAGACTGGCCCTGAGCTAACATCCATGCTCATCTTCCTCTACTTCATATGTGGGACACCTACCACAGTATGGCTTGCAAAGTGGTGCCACGTCCACACTGGGGATCTGAACGGGGGAACCCTGGCCCGCCAAAGCGGAATGTGCACACTTAACTGCTGCACCACTGGGCCGGCCCCTCATTACACTTTTTAAATAGCTGATGCATAGACATGGGTCAGTATCAGAGTATTCAAGGGTGGCAAAGAAAAGCCTACCTCCCACTCCTGGCCCAATCCACAGGTCCCAGGCACGAACAACAAAGCCACTCTTTTTACTTTCTTAATTACCCTTTCTATGATCTTTTATGTACATCCCACCCTATACAAATATGCTGTTTACTCCTTTTTCACTTCTTTTTTCCCCCACAAACAGTAGCATACCACTGTAAACGCTATTCTGCACTTGCTTTTTAAACTTAACTCTTACGGGAGCTTAATGTTTCCCTATCAGTGTGTAAACATCTTCCTTGTTCCATTGACTGCTGCTTAGTACTCCATGCCATGGGCACGTCAGAGCCAATGGATCCATCCCACTATCGATGGACCTTTACGTTGCTTCTAATTTTCCTCTCACTCAAGCAGAGCAGTAGTGAACATCCCTGTACATGGGCACAAAGATTGTTCTTCCCCTCTAACAAATATAATGGCAGGAGAAATATCATCTTCTCAATTACTTTTTGTTCCATAAAATAAACAATAAACACCTCCTCTCTACAATCCAGCCTCCAACTCATCTCCCAACTTTTTCTTACATGGTCCTGCCTGAAGTGCTGGTTTGCTCCACAAGTCCCGAGTCAGCCCCCTGCCACTGTATTTCGAATGCATCTTTCCCACCAACCTTCCATGGGAAACTTCCAGAGTTCATAGCTGGTGACCCCCTGGCACTCCCTGCCCTTGCCCAGTTCCAAGAATCTCTGCATTTTGGGGGTCTAGGGCAGGATGTGGGGTCAGTGATGATAAGTCCACGTGGAGTGAGGGGATGGGAGGGTTTGAGGCTTTGCCTGGGACCTCCGTATCACTGGTTGCTGCCGTCCCTCCCCAGGCAGTGGTTCTGACATCATGGTGAGTGACTGTCGCCGCAAGGAGCAGCTGAGTGATTGCTCATATACCCACTCTTCTCCGGTGTTTGGCTTCTGGATATACTCTCAATGCTGTTTCCTGGATTTCTGCAATAACCCACAGAACAGAGTGTTCTAAATTCCCTAGAGCGTCTGCAGAGACCTTTGGAGTAAATCCTGCCAGTTTCCAGCCATCCTCTTGATCTCCACCCGGGCTCAGCCAGGACAACTTGCAGTCCCTTCCACCAGCCCTCCCTGCCTCCCTCAAGTTACCGGATCCCAGCCCCATCTGCCTCCTGGTTGACGCCCCTCAACATCCCTACTCTCTCTACCCTCCTCCTCCAGAATTCTCTGGAGTTTTCAAGTCCTCACAGTCCCACGTCTTTCCTCCTCTCTGCTCCCACCTCTAGGCTGCTGCTTTGCTGTTTTGTTCTTTCTCGCTTTCTCCCATCAGTCCTCTCTCGCCCCAAGTTCCCAGATGTTCCTCCAAAATAAACTAGTGTATAAACTGTATGGTTTGTCTCTCTTCTTGCGGAGGTGGAGGCTGAGGGAGGTGGTCCTGCTTTACTGCCCCATCATGGGGGCAGGTAAGGGGCTCCCAGCTCTGCTGAGCTCTGCTTCTGCCCTGCCTCAGTATCTCTGATTCAGCTCCAGAGCTGTGTAGGGAGTGGAGGGGAGGTCCATGAGGGGGTGTTGGTAGGAGTGGGGCTGTAAAAGGCCCAGGCTCAGGGAGGAAGGAGTGGGGAAGGATGCTCTGTGGAAGAGATGCTAGGCCTAGTGGAGGCCTGGCCTCTGACCCCAGGTTCTGCTTCCCTCTTCAAGGACCTTGGCAAGTTACTCAATTTGGGGCCTTGGGTTCCTCAGCCTCTGAGGCTGTCTTCCAGTTTGACCTGCTAACGCTGTATGAACCTGGGTCTTTCCGTCTTACACTGAAGTCAGAGTTTGTGGGGAAAGGTGGGTCTGGTAAGAGGGAGACACACTGAAGGTTTATACCTCTCTTTGTACCTTCAACTGCGTCATGACCTAAAAATTAATGTTAATATCTCCTGCAAGAGCACAGGCCATTCAAGGGGCCACAGAGATCTGTTAAAATGTGTGTAAGAGGAGTGACATCAGCATCATGGTGGACAGAGCTTTCCCAGTAATCTCTCTCCTCTACCATACAATGAAAAAGACATTCATACGCCAAGAGAGACATCCAAACACAACACAAAAGACATCTGTGAAACCCATGCAGCCATACGACAGAGGGCAGAGAGGCTGGAGCCCCCCTCAGAGGAAGTGGAATGGGGTAAGAGAAAACTTTGCTCCCTCCTCAAAAGTATGGGATCCAGGACTGCAGGCAGCCTCTGACAGGGAAGGAACAGGAGAGGGGACGTTTGTTCGCAGGAACGTCAAAGATCTCCAAGGGCTCTCGCAGCCCATGGGAAAGACCCTACCGAGGTGAAAGCTAACGTGAGGGTGACCTCATCAAGCCAACACCCCAGGAGAGCAGATAGTGAGGGCAGAGCAAGAAAACCCCGAGAGCACACAGAGGAAAGCGCACCTCCCCCACCACCCGCACAGGGCCAGTTCCAGTGCCTGGGATCTCGCCAGCATGCAGAGGGTTCAGAATATGCAGCTCTTGACCCTCACCCAGTGGTCATAGGCAGTAACTGCAACCAAATAATACCACAATGTGCAAAAACAGAGCCATGACCTATAGCAGTATCAAAAATTATATAAATATCCAGACCAGAGAGAAAATGACAAGTACCCAGAAATCAGTCCTAAGGACACAGAAATATGTCATCTAAATGACAGAGAATTAAAAATAGCTATCATCAAAAAACTCAATGAGTTAAAAGAGAATGTAGAGAAACAATTCAATGAATTTACGAGCTACTTCACAAAAGAGATTGAAACTATAAAGCAGCAATCAGAAATATTGGAGATGAAAGACATAATGGAAGAGAGAAAATATGAATTCCCTGAATGCTCAAGCAGATGTCGTAGAAGAGCGAATCAGCATAATCAAGGACAGACATGTTGAAGTGCTCCAGATAGAGGAGAGAAACTAAGAATAAAAAGAAATTAAGTCTCCAAGAAATATCCAACTCAATCAGGAAATGCAACATAAGCATTATAGGTGTTTAAGAGGAAGAAGGAGAATGGAGCAGAAAGCTTGATCAAAGAAATAATAGCAGAGATCTTCCCAAACCTGGGGAAGGACATGGAAATCCATGTCAAAGAGTCTATCAGAGCTCCTAAACATGTCAATGTAAAAAGACCTACTGCAAGGCATATAGTAGTGAAACTGGCAAAAGTGAATGACAAAGAAAAAATACTTTTTCCTTTTCAGGAAGATTAGCCCTGAGCTAACTACTGCCAACCCTCCTCTTTTTTCTGAGGAAGGCTGGCCGTGAGCTAACATCCGTGCCCATCTTTCTCTACTTTATATGTGGGATTCCTACCACAGCATGGCGTGCCAAGCGGTGCCATGTCCGCACCTTGGATCCGAACCAGCAAACCCCAGGCCGCCGAGAAGCAGAACATGTGAACTTAACCACTGTGCCACTGGGCCAGCCCCAGAAAAAATACAGGGAGCAGCAAGGCAGAAGAAAATAACCTACATTTCTCTGCAGAAACCTTACAAGTTAGGAGAGACTGGAATGGCACATTCAAATCTTTGAAGGACAGAAACTTTCAGCCAAGAATACTCTATCCAGCAAGAATATCCTTCAGATATGATGGAGAAATAAAAACTTTCCCAGATAAACAAAAGCTAAGGGAGTTTGCAGCCATAAGATCCCCCTGCCCCCAAGAAATCCTCAAGAAGGCCCTCATACCTGAAAAAAAAAGGCAGAAAGGGGTTACAAAGCATGGAGTAAAGAGATAAATAGGTAGACAAAATCAGAAAATTGTAGCTATACATCAGAACAGGTTAGCAAATACTCAAGAATAGTATTAAAGATAAAGGGAAGGAAAACACCAAAAACAAAGATAATCTTGTCATTTTAATCACCAACTCACAAGATGAAATAAGATGTGAGAAAAACAACTTAGGAGGGGAAGAAGAAAGGGACAGAATCAGTTTAGTCTAAGGAAATAAGAGGCCATCAGAAAACAGACAATCTTAGCTATGTGATTTTGAATACAAACCTCATGGTAACCACTAAACAAAAAAGCACAACAGAGACACAAATAATAAATAAGGAGAGAACAAAGAAACACAACATAAAAAGTACATAACTCAATTGGTAGACCAAAATACACAGGACGAGAAACAAAGGAAATGAAGGAGAACCAGAAAACAAGTGATAAAATGGCAGCATTGAGCCCTCATATATTGATAATCACCCTAAATGTAAATGCACTGAATTCTCCAACAAAAAGAGAAAGAGCAGCAAGATGAATTAAAGAACAAGACCCAACAATATGCTGCCTCCAGGAAACACATCTCAGCTCCAATGACAAACACAGGCTGAGAGTGAAGGGATGGAAGATGATACTCCAAGCTAATGGCAAACAAAAGAAAGTAGGTGTCGTGATACTTATATCAGACAAAGTAGACTTCAAGATAAGACAGGTAAAGAGAGACAAAGAGGGGCAATATATAATGATTAAAGGGACACTCCACCAAAAAGATGTAACACTTATAAATATCTATGCACCCAACACAGGAGCACCAAAGTACATAAAGCAACTACTGACAAACCTAAAAGAAGATATTAATAGTAACACAATAACAGTAGGGGACCTCAACACCCTACTCACATCATTGGACAGATCATCAAGACAGAAAGTCAACAAGGAAACAGATTAAACAAAAAGCTAGACTAGTCAGGCTTAATAGACATATATAGAACACTCCATCCAAAACCAGCAGAATACACATTCTTCTCAAGTGCACAGAGAACATTCTCAAGGATAGACCATGTGTCGGGAAATGAGGCAAGCCTCAATAAATTTAAGTAGATTGAAATAATAACAAGCATTTTTCTGATCACAATGCTATGAAGCTAGAAATTAATTACAAGAACAAAGCTGATAAAGGGACAAAGATGTAGAGATTAAACAACATGCTATTGAACAACCAATGGATCATTGAAGAAATTAAAGGAAAAATCAAAAAATATCTGGAGACAAATGAAAATGAAAACATACCATATCAACTCATATGGGATGCAGCAAAAGCTGTATTAAGAGGGAAATTCGGAGCCTGCCTGGTGGTGCAGTGGTTAAGTTTGTATGTTCCACTTCGGCAGCCTGGGGTTCGCTGGTTCAGATCCTGGGTGTGGACATGGCACCACTTGGCAAGCCATGCTACGGTAGACGTCCCACATATAAAGTAGAGGAAGATGGGCATGGATGCTAGCTCAGCACCAGTCTTCCTCAGTAAAAAGGAGGATTGGCAGCAGATGTTAGCTCAGGGCTAATCTTCCTCAAAAAAAGAGGGAGATTCATCACAATACAGGCTCACCTTAACAAACAAGAAAAATCCCAAATAAGCAATCTCAAACTACACCTAACTGAATTAGAAAAAGAAGAACAAACAAAGCCCAAAGTCAGCAGAAGGAGAAACAATAAAAATCAGAGCAAAAATAAATGCTATTGAAACAAAAAAGGCAGTAGAAAGGATCAATGAAACAAAGAGCTGGTTCTTTGAGAAGATAAACAAAATTGACAGACCCCTAGCCAGACTTACAAAGAAAAACAGAGAGAAAGCTCAGATAAATAAAATTAGAAACGAAAGAAGAGAAATAATAAATGGATACCACAGAAATACAATGGATTATAAGGGAATACTACGAAAAGCTATATGCCAAGAAAATAGACAATCTAGAGGAAATAAATTCTTAGGCTCTTACAACTTCCCAAAGCTGAATCAAGAAGAAATAGATAATCTGAATAGACCAATCACAAATAGAGATTGAAACAGTAATCAAAAGCATCCCAAAAAATAAAAGCCCAGCACCAGACGGCTTCCCTGGAGAATTCTACCAAACTTTCAGAGAGGATTTAATACCTATCCTTCTCAAGCTATTCCAAAAAGTTAGGGAAGATGGAATGCTTTCTAACACATTCTGTGAGGACAACATTACTCTGATACCAAAGCCTGACAAAGACAACACAAAAAAAGAAAACTATAGGCCAATGTCACTGATGAACATAGATGCAAAAATCCTCAAAAAAATATTGCCAATCTGAATACAGCAATACATCAAAAAGATCATACATCATGAGCAAGTGGGATTTATACCAGGGACACAGGGAGAGTTCAACATCTGCAAATCAATCAATATGATACACCACATTAACAAAATGAGGAATAAAAACCACATGATCATCTCAACAGACACAGAGAAGGCATTTGACAAGATCCAACAGCCATTTATGACAAAAATGGGGATAGAAGGAAATTACCTCAACATAATAATGGGCATATACGACAAACCCACAGCCAACATCATACTCAATGGGGAAAACCTGAATGCCATCCCTCTGAGAACAGGAAGAAGACAAGAATGCCCTCTATCACCACTCTTATTCAACACTGTACTGGAGGTTTTGGCCAGAGCAATTAGGCAAGAGAAAAGGAATAAAAGGAATCCAAATAGGGAGTGAAGAAGTGAAACTCTCACTGTTTGCAGATGACATGATCTTATTTAGAGAAAACCCTAAACAATCCATTGGAAAAATATTAGAGGTAATTAACAACTACAGTAAAGTTGCAGGGTACAAAATCAACTTACAAAAATCAGTTGCATTTCTATACTCTAATAATGAACTTACAGAAAGAGAATTCAAGAATACAATCCCATTTACAGTTGCAACAAAAACAATAAAGTATCTAGGAGTCAATTTAACCAAGGAGGTGAAGGACTTATACAATGCAAACTATAAGACATTACTTTTGAAAGAAATAGATGATGACATAAAGAGATGGAAAGAGATTCCACGCACATGGATTGGAAGAATAAACATAGTTAAAAGGTCCATACTACCCAGAGCAAATCTACACATTCAATGCAATCCCAATCAGAATCCCAAGGACATTCCTCACAGAAACAGATCAAAGAATCCTAAAATTCATATCGGACAACCAAAGACCCCGAATTGCTAAAGCAACCCTGAGAAAAAAGAACAAAGCTGGAGGCATCACAATCCCTGACTTCAAAATGTACTACAAAGCTATAGTGATCAAAACAGCATGGTACCAGTACAAAAACAGGCACACAGATCAAGGGAACAGAACTGAAAGCTCAGAAATAAAACCACATATCTACAGACAGCTAATCTTTGACAAAGGTGCTAAGAACATACAACAGAGAAAAGATAGTCTCTTCGATAAACAGTGTTGGGAAAACTGGACAGCCACATGCAAAAGAATGGGAATCCTCATACACTGCTGGTGGGAATGCAAACTGGTGTAGCCACTATGGAAAACAGTATGGCGATTCCTCAAACAACTAAAAATAGAAATACCAGGGGCCAGCCCAGTGGTGCAGTGGTTAAGTTCGCACGTTCTGCTTTGGCTGCCCAGGGTTTGCTGGTTCAGATCCCGGTGCGGATATGGCAGTGCTTGGCAAGCCATGCTGTGGTAGGCATCCCACATATAAAGTAGAGGAGGATGGGCATGGATGTTAGCTCGAGGCCAGTCTTCCTCAGCAAACAGAGGAGGATTGGCAGCAGTTAGCTCAGGGTTAATCTTCCTCAAAAAAAAAAAAAAAAGTAATACCATACGACCCAGCTATCCCACTACTGGGTATCTACCCAACTTGAAATCAACAATCCAAAGTAACATATGTACCCCTATGTTAACTGCAGCACTATTCATAATAGCCAAGACATGGAAACAATCCAAGTGCCCATCAACCAATGATTGGATAAAGAAGATGTGGCATATATACAGAATACTACTCAGCCATAAAAAAAGACAAAATCATCCCATTTGCAACAACATGGACGGACCCGGAGGGAGTTATGCTAAGTGAAATAAGCCAGACTGAGAAAGACAAACACCAGAGGATTTCACTCATATGTGGAACATAAACAAACACATGGACAAAGAAAACAGTTCAGTGGTTACCAGGGGGAGGGGGGTGGAGGGTGGGCACAAGGGGTGAAGGGGAACACTTATGTGGTGACAGACAAGAAATAATGTACAAGTGAAATTTCACAATGATGTATACTATTATGAACTCAAAAAAAAAAAAAGATGGTTAGAGAGATGTGGGATAAAGTAAATCCAGAGAAATGTTAACTGTAGAATTTAGGTGGTGGATAGGTGGATGTTCTCTGTCCAACTCTTTCAACCTTTCTGTAGGCTTGAAAATTTTTGTATTAAAATGCTTGTTAAAAAAAAATGTGTACAAAACGCTGTGTAGCTATGTGTAAATGCTGCACGGTGCCATTCATATCAAGCACACAGATAAAATTCATCTAAGCTGCTACAGCTGAGGACAGCGGCTACCCGAGCGTTGGGGGAGTGCCTGGGAGGGGGCACGAAGGCAGCTTTGGGTGCCGATAAAGGCCTTTATGCTGGCTTGGGGACTGGTATCACAGTTGTATAGTTTACAAAAAAACATGCTAAGGTCTGTACAAGCTTCTGTATGTTTTGCCAAAAAGGATTAAAAATAAACAGGCCACATCTGTGAGTGCATTTGTTTCTAAGGCATGTGTCTCTTTTTTGAGGCCCTAACTTCCACCTGTGCACATGCATTTACATGCATTCTCTCAATCCCATGAGGCACTAGCTCTACTTAATTAAAGGTGACCAAAGTGAGGCCAAGAGACCAACTTACCCAAGCAGCAGAGGAGCTGGGATTGGGCCTCCCAGCCACAGGCTGCACTACTTTTGAAAAGGTCTCATAAGCCCAGCACTGGGTTGCGAGATTCGGAAGGCGGACACCTGGCTGTACTCATCTGCGAGTCTTGGCGCTTAACACCAGGCCTGGCACAGAGCAGTGTGTGTCCAGTGTTTACTGAACGTATGGGAAAGGTTGAGTTACGGATATTCATTATTGCTCTCTGCATGCTTGCAATCTTTCAAACATAAAATATTAAAATGAAAGATCCAACCACTGCAGCCCTACCTGTGGACTCTGCATTTCCCCCTCCACGTAAGCCCCCACAGAGGGAGGGGGTCCTGGGTGCCAGGATCCTGAAAAGAACTGAGGATGGGCAGAAACCCAAGCCCCTCAGGACCACATGGCTCTGAGATGCAGACCTGGGCCCTTTGGTTTGCTCCTGAGTCTTCCTAGTTTAAAGAGTTTTCCCTCCTCTCTCAGGTAGAAAAACCTGACATCACCTAGGTTTAACTTTCTGGGTTTTGCAGGATATGTTTAATGCTGGGAGGAGGTTACAATCCCCATCCTTTGATCTCTATCTGAGCAGAGGGTGGAATGGATGTGAGCCCTTTGGGGCAGGCCATGAGGAAGACACAAAGGCCAAGTGGAGTGGGCAGGTCTCTGAACTCCACAACTAATTAACTTTCTTTAACCTGTCTACACCTGCCCACACCTGAGCCTGAGCCCATAAACAACGTGACACAGACTTAGCCCAGTCCATTTATTGCGGAGGGAAATTGAGGGACATGGAACAGAGCAGGACAGACTCTCTCCTCTCCTCTCCCCAGGAACCTATGGAAGTGGGAAAGTGACTGAGTGAAGTGAAGTGGGGCTGAAGAGGCCAGAGATTGGGACAAGAGATGAGAGGAGGCAGCAGGAGACCAGGGTGAGAGTGGCGGTGGTGGAGACAGTAAGGCAGAGACACCAGAATGCCAAGTCAGGAAATCTGCATAGAAGTCTACCCCTCATTCTTCTTGCTGCCAAGTTCAGTCTGGCACTGGATCTTAGAGACAGGCATAGGACAGGATATAGAGCTAGATGTGAATGGAGGTAGCAGGTGACCAGATTGAGAGGGGATTGGGAAGATTACGGGGGATGATGGACCACTCAGATGATGGGAAAGGGATAAGGAAACCACTGTGCCTTTTCCAGGTCAGCCTGGGCAGAATCTGCACTTGAGATTATTTTCTAGGAAAAAGAAAGAGGAGGACTAGGTGCATTGCCAACCAGTTTCTGAAGAGAAAATTAAATCAAAGCCATACAGAAACTGGAAGTACCACAGAAAGGAGGCCTAAGAAATCAGAGGCCAGAGAATGTGGATGTTCTGACAGGACAGTGTAGGCTGCTGGGGTGTTAGGGGACAGATGCTAGAACAGAGTGGGATCCAGCAAGGGTAAGGTGTCAGGGTCCAGCCTGGGGAAGAACCAAAAGTCCTGAATTGTTAAGGAACAAGTATATGTGGCGCAGGACAGCAACAGGCAAGTCCAGGTTCAGAGGCAGGGCGGCCAGGGGGTCCAGGCCTTCTTCAGGCTCCTTCTCAGCATGGAAGCTGGGTAAGGGCAGTGAGAGGTTCAAGGCTTGGTAGAACCTCTGGATCTGGGCCTCGGACAGGGGTAAGGTCAGGGACCTGTCAGGGGGTTCAGGCAGGGAGCTCTGGAGCTGGGGGCTGGACCAAGAGTTGCAGTAATCATACTGGCAGCATTGGGCCTCGTACCAGTACTCTGCGAAGTAGGTAGCGTGTTTTTCTTGGCAGCGGTAAGAATTGTACTGTCCACAGCCTCGAATGAAGAAGCGGATCTTGGTATCTGGAGGAGAGGGAACAGCTAATAACCCCTGCTGCCTCTCACAGTCCCCAAACATGGCACCCCTACCACTGAGTCTCCCCATCCCTCACCCAGACCCGACTTCCATTTCAGACTCCTTCAGAAGAGGCCAGAAAAATTAGCTTAGTTGGCCCCCCAGAACCCTCCTTCCAAGATCCTCTTTTTTTCTTCTTGTACTCCAGGGCTCAAGCAGCCCTCACCTAAAAGAGGAGGCCAAGCCACGGGCGTCCCACCAGCAGCCCCTTCCTTGCACCTGACTCACCGTAATAGATGGTGATCACCATGCATGGGGATGTACTGCTGATGGTGCACTTCTCTGAGCCTGAAATGCATCCGACTGAAGGGTCTTCTAAGAGGCAGAAGTGGCAGGTCCGGACTTCAGCAAGGGGAGCTGAAGAAGTAGAATGTAGGAGAGATGGGAGTGTTGGCTCACTCCAAGTCCCTTGCCCTGCAGGGAGCCCGTGCATCCAGGTGCCCAGCCCCACCCCTTCCTCCCTGCCCTGGCTCCCACTTACCCTTTCCCACTGCGAAGCCCACCATGACCAGCACACCTACAAGCATACAGGCCTTCATTATGGAATTCTGGGGAGAGGGGCAGTCAGAGGGGTGCTCTGAAACCCCACCTGTCTGTGACCACACTGCTTGATCCTGAGCTGCAGGGTGGTTTTGACAGGCAGAGTGTCAGCAGGAGCTGCTGTAGTACAGACCTATATTCCTTCCTGGGGCAGGACCCTGGCTGGAGGAGTAAGTTATTAACTTGGGGAGAGGGACAGTGTGTCCTCACCCACGAGGTCCACTTCCTGAATGTGGGAGTAGTGGCCCAGACAGGGACAATACCTGGGCTGTAATCCAGCCGTCTACCTTTGTCCTGCATGCCCCCCCAAAGATCTATTCCCGCCCCTCAAGGGTCCATAGATTAGCATCTGTCTCTAGCACCACCGCTGTCTTTCCCACACAATAGGGCCAGTCCCTATCATGCTGGGAGAAACTTTGGCCAGGAACCCAGCGTCCCCATCCTTCTGAGACGAGCATGTCTCAGCTCCCCCAGCAGAGGGCACACAGACACCACTAAGCAGCAATTCTGCAATTGTCCCTCCTCTCTCCACCCCTTACAGCTCTGTTTCTTTTAGGACCACCTTCCCTGTAAAACCAAAACTGAAAGACAGTGTTGTTGATGACGTCCCTTACACTATAAACAGACAGCTGTAGGCGGCCCCAAAAGAACCAGTGTTTCTCTGGCCTTTAAAATCTGATTTTTCTCTGGGTCTTTTCCTTGTGACCTTGCACATGCCCACACCCAATCCTAGGAATTCTGCTCTGCTCTCTACTAGAAACATCACCCAAATCCACTGGGCACAAATTTGTGCTGGTTTTCAACTTGGGGAGGGTGGGCTGGGCCATGAGGGCCCCTGGGGTCCAGTACACCACTACCCTCCCTTCCCCAACCCCAAGTACCAGCAGACTAGCTCATGGCCTTTTCTTCCACTTTATTTCATTATTCCCACCACAATAATGACTCCTTTAATTTAAACTAAAAACCATAGGGGGTTCCTGAAAGGGTGGCAGCGAAGGAATGGAGGTGTCAAGGACCAAGGGACAGGTGGGGTGGGGAATCAGCGAATCGTCTTGACTGGGCTCTTGAAGTTGCTGGCGGCTTGGAGCTGCAGCTGGTAAGCCATTGGATGGATCTTGAAACCGTAGAGCCTGGGCCGGGGCAGAGGTCAGACAGGCAGCAGGGTGAGCCCCATCCTGGTCCTGCCAGTGGCGTGCATTCCCACCTCCCCACCCCAGCTCCTCCACAGGCCTGCTCAGTGCTTAAGGGCAATGGTTCCCAAACTCCTTCCCTCAAGAATATTAGGGAACACATCTTAAATACCCATTAAAACCCGGATTCTAAAATATACACGCGGGTGTGCATATATACGTGTGTGTGAATTTAAACATATCTCAGTACTTACTTCAATATAAAACCGAACCTTTCTTCCCTACACCCAAGTAAAAGTGATGCTCCAGGAAGATTACCCACACTTGAACCATGGCTCTAAGGATCTCCTAGCAAATGTTGAGCACCCAAGATGGTGGCAAGAACAGCTATCATTTAAACGGTGCTTCAAGTACCAAATGTTATTCTAAGTACTCCACATAATTAAAAATACCCTGTCAGGCAGGTACTATCATCCTCCTCATTTTATGGATAAGGGAACTGAGGCATCGGCAATCAAAGAACTTTCCCAAGGTCCTTCAGCAGGGAGAACCCTGGCTTTGGGAGAAGCAGGTCTCAAGAAAAGGACCATGCCCTGTCCTCCCTTCTCTCTGGGGGTCCCAGGCCTTTCTTTTGACCCTTGGTGACTGTCCCTGCTCCCCACCTGGGCACAAACTGGTTGGCGGGCCGCTTGGGCCGGTACTCGGGGTGCACCATGAAGAGCATGTGAGGGAAACCGGTGCCGAAGTAGGCGCCGTCCGTGTGGTGGTGCCTCGATGACTTGGGTGTGTACACGTCCATGCACTTGGGGCAGTAGAGCTTCACCATGGCCTCACCTGGGATGTCCGAAAGGCCTGGGAGACAGCCAGACTCAGCAGGCTGGGCTCCCCCAACCTTGCCCAACCTCCCTCCCGGACTCAGGCCCCAACTTGCTGAGTCCCAACTCACTCCCAGAGGACCTGCCATATGTTGCCCTCCTTTCCTTTCTCCAACACTCACCGATGGGAAGCATTGGCTGGTTCTCACAGTACACACGGGGACAGTAGCCAAAATCTCCCTGCTGGTATTTTTCCAACTGAGGTGAATAAAATGGAAGAGGTCAGTGGATAGGTGTGAAGAGGCAATCTCCTCTCCAGCTCAACCCACATCACTGTCCCCCACTCCTCCTCTCTCTCTGTGTTCAGAGGCCCCTTCTCTGGCCCAGGCAGACCCTCAGACTCCTCTGCTTCCTTTCCTCCAGGCAGGCAGACTGAAGACCATCAGAGCCATTCACTGTTTATTCCCTGAGGAAGAGGCAGTCTGTAACAACTTACTGTCCAAGGTCATATATCCCTCCCTGAAAACACCGCCTTCAGCACAACCCCCAACCAGGATTTAATTCCCAGGCCCGAGTCCTGGGGTTCTTCCCCTCTTCTCAGCTAGACTCCTTGACAGGGTTCAAACACGTGACTTCTTGCTGTAGGAACCTCTGTCTTCCTTATTGCCTCAGAAAGAACCGTGTGGGAGCAGAGAGGCCTCACCATCTGGGCGATGCCACGGTTGGTGAGGATATAGCGGGCGTGGATCAATCCATAAAGCATCTCGGCTGCCTGCTCAATCAAGTCGCTCTGGTTGGGGTTGTCTTCCAGCTCTTCATCTGAAACATGGCCCCAGGTGAATGCAACCACTTGACTTACAGCCTTCTTAGGTGCCGTGCCCACCCCCTGGGGCTGCTGCCTACTCAGTTGGCCCAACACCTACCTCTGAGCTTCACCCCACCCATTGTCTGGGCATTTGACCCAGAAACCTGGGCCTCTGACCCTTCTTCCACACTTCTTCAGCCTCTGCTCTCTTCTCTCCCTCCCAACTCCCTCCTGAACACATAAATGTAAAGACGTCAATGCAGAATATGGAACTCGAGACCAGAAGGTGCAAGACAGGAGAAAGAGGCAGAAAACGAGACCCGGGGGAACTGGCGTTATGGAATAGTGCTGAGTTATAGGATCAGAGCATGGGAACAGGTGATATAAATCACAGAACTAGGCAAGAGTCAGGTGAGGGATCAAAATGAAGTAGGGGATTTTGGGTTAAGGGAATCAGAGGACCAAAAAGAAATTTAGAAATTCAAGAAGCAAGTGAACAGGAATTTGAAGAGGAAAAAAAAGCATACACACACAAAACCACCCTTAGAGTGCCTCACCAGGTTCCAGGTCCAAGATCATGTCTAGAGCTTGTCGATAGTGAGGCACCTGCTCGTTGAGTCCAGTGAGATTGAATTTGTCCTGGATGTAGTCTTCATCCACCTGCCAGGATATGAAGTCAAGAGGGAAGATTGCTCAGCTTTGACCTGTGTGATTGCTCTAACTGATGCTTTATCCTCGACACAACTGCTTCTGTTCCCTTTTCCCCCACTCTCAACTCGGCAGAAGGACTTGAGTCTCTCTCCTCAGTTTATATATACCGTCCTCCCATAAAAGCTTTGGCTTTTCTTTTCTAAGGATAAGCAGGTCCAGAATCTCCTCCTCAGAGAGACAGTCCTTCCAAGATCCCTGTCTCTGCTCCTGCCCCATCTCTAGTAGCCAGTTTTGTCCTCTCTTTAGGGACAGCTGGTTCTCTGAGGAAAGTGGAGACTGAGCAGCTTGGGTTCTGCAGGCAATTACAATCCCTTATGTTAACACACAGCTTTACACGTTACAAAGCTTTTTAACGTGCAATGTTTCAATTCTTCTAACAGTTACTGGAGATAGGTACTACCAGCACCACTCTGGTAATAAAAAAGAAAAGACACGGGTTGACTCGTCCAATGTCACATTGCTAGAGGGTGGCAGGGGTGGGACTTGGGCCCTAGACTTACCACTTCACCACAAGTTACTGAGCGGTTACTGAGGGGACTCTTCCTTGACGGGAAAAAGTTTCTATAGAAGCATTTGAGACAAGTGTGTGGAAGCTTAATATCTGGGAGGATATCAGACTATAAGTGAAGAGGCGTAGGGAGATTGAGAACTCACTTCACAGAAGAATTCATTGCCACGGAGACCACAGAACCAGGAAATCCAGGACACCTCTTCTGAGCTGCTCATCTTCACGTCAGCTGGAAACCCAAGAGTCTAAGGAAAGGCCAAGCTCTCCCTCCCTGCTGCTGGTATCCTCCCTCCTCCCACACTTTGCCCTCCAACCCCGGAAGAATTTGGGTCACCTTTTCTTTAAGGATTCCAGACTCTGGAACACCTCCCTCCAGTTCCTCTGAATTACACCTCAGCCTATCTCCCCCGAGATTACAAATTCTTTGAGGTCCCACCACTTGCAAGAAACCGACAGGTCTGGAGCCACCAAGTCCTACCCTCATCCCTGACGCTCCCAAAGGCCAGGCTCCTCTCCCGGCCATGTCAACTCCCGCAGGCCCTCGGCTCCGGCTCCCTACCCCCGCAGGGCTCTGCAGGCTCCCCGGCACTTTTCCCAAGGGTTCCGAAGTTTATCCTTTTCGGACAACTGCTGGGCCCTTTCTCTTCTCACGGCCAGCGGGTGGCCGTCAGGTCCCTTTCACCGGAGTCCCCACATCCCGCCTCCGCTCCTCAGCCCACCCCACCCTCCCTCGGTGCCCGACCGGGTCACTTCCTTCCCCGCCCCCACATCAAGGAGCGGAGACCCCATGTGCCGCGCCCAGGGACACCGGACTCGGCGCGGCGACGACCTCAGACTCACCGGGCGGACGAGGGCCAGGACCAGGGTGGGGGAGGGGAGTTGCTGCTTCCAAAGAACCTCGGCGACGGCTACAGCGCAGGCCGCGGACCCGACCGCGGCAGGCGAAGTGGGGTGGGGGGAGTGGAAATTGGGGAGGGTGGGGGAAGAGGGCACCGCGCAAGCGCCAAGGGTCGGGCGCCCGGGTGGACGCCGGGAGACGGAGTCCTCAGTAGGGAGAAACTGGCGAAACGAGGGAAAGGCGAACTACGAATCCCAGGATGACTCTCACACGACCCTGGTGTCGCGAGGTCCCTGAGGAAGACGCTTGGGGGCGGGGCGCAGCGAGGCGCCACCGGAAGCGGAAGCCCAGTATGGGGTCTGGGCCGGGGAGCTTGGGAAATATAGTCGTGTGATCCGGGGACTGAGAGGCCAAAAGGGGGCGGGGAAAGGAATGAGTCTGGCTGGATCGTTTCCTGCCGCTTCCCTCACAGCGAGCCTCTGGCCCCGGCGCACCTTTGCTACCCAGGCGACTGACCCCCATCTGCGGCCAACCCTCCGGGTCCTTATCGCCCGTCGAGCCCCTCACCCGAGTCAGGCCCGCCACTAGAGACCCCCGATGGGGCCCATGTTTCACTCCTCCTGAGGCGGGAGGTGAGGCCGGTCTCCGTGCTAAGGGATCTGGGTAGGGTGTGCTAGGCTGAGGTGAGCGGTGTGAGAGCTGGAACGGCCCAGTGTGCTAACCTGAGGTGGCGCCAGCCATTCTGCTACTTGTCCCCTTGCATTTCTCCATTTCCTCTTAGGGTTTGAATGAGGCCTTCTGCTGCGGGCTGAGTGTGACCTTCGAACCCTGGTCAGAGTAATGGTGAGAGGCAGCGCGACGTTATTTCATTTTACAGCTTCTAGGCATTCCACAGGTTTCCCTCCGCCTCCTCAGGGCGTTTCTTAACCCAGACAGTGGTTTCCCAGCTCCAGAAAATGAGTTCGGAGCGGGGGCCACGTTGAGGGAGGCGAAGGGCATTGTGGGGGCGTTATGTAAAAGTAGGACCCCCCCCCCCCCCCAACCGACAGCTCCTCCTTGCTCCTCGCGCTATCTAGGCACGTGGTGGCGTGCGCGCACACTATTGGAAGGTTCCAGGGCGGGAAACTGAACTAGCACCTTGCGCACGCCCTCGCCCTCAAGTAATGTTTGTTTGCTTTTTCCCCAGCCACGCATGCGTCTTCTTGTCGTGTGGCTATTTAATTGTGTAAACTCTTTTGCTTGGAGTAGCGCCACTTTGCGGTACGGAAGCTACAAAGCATCGCACACTGGAGCGTCTCCCCGAAATCTGCTTCCGCTTCCTGCTTCCGGAAAAGTGTTAAGTCTGTTTTCGTTTGGGAAGGAGATACAGAAATAGAATCGAGGAAGATTTAAAGGGCTAGGCTGATTGTTTTTCTTAATGGTATGTCTTACGGGGTGGTAAAGGGGTTTGAGAGAGAGGCTGTTATTATTTAGTGTTGGTGAGGACGGGGCGTGGGGGTGGAACGCAGGACCTCTGGACGACTGCCTCATGGAGTTGTCTTTGTTAACCTTTACTAAGGGGCATGGTCTGTTATTGCAGGGTTTCCTGTTTTTCCACATGACTTACGGCCCTTAGGCCCTGCAGGGTCCTAGGTTGTGGGGTCATTTTTGGGGCAGGAGGGGGTTTTTGACTCTAAGGCTACTTTTCTTCATCCCAGCAGGCCTCTGGAGGTGGCTCTTGTCACTGCAGGGCCACCAGGGTGTTCGCTTGCTTGTTTCATCCTTCCCTTGCCTAGTCTCATCTTCTCAGCTCTCTGAAAAGCCATGTCCAAACCCTCCCTCATCACCTTCACCCCGGCCACTGACCCCAGTGACCTCTGGAAAGATGGGCAGCAGCAGTCACAGCCTGAAGAGCTGGAGCCCACCCTGGATGGGGCTGCAGCCCGAGCTTTCTATGAGGCCTTGATTGGGGATGAGAGCAGCACCCCTGAACCCCAGAGAGCTCGGCCTGAGCCTGCCAGTGAGAGAAAGAGGAAGAAAAGAAGAGTGATGCGACAGGCTGCAGCAGGAGCATCAAGAGGACATGGACAAAGTAGATCCCTTGAGGCCGAGGACAAGATGACCCAGTGGATATTGAGGGCAGCCCAGGAGGGGAACTTGGCAGAACTAAGAAGGCTGTTGGATCCTCAGGAAGCAGGGGGAGCTGGGGGGAATATCAACACTCGGGATGCCTTCTGGTGGACTCCCCTGATGTGTGCTGCCCGAGCGGGCCAGGGGGCGGCTGTGCGCTATCTCCTGGGCCGTGGGGCTGCCTGGGTGGGTGTCTGTGAGGTGGGTGGCAGGGATGCTGCTCAGCTGGCCGAAGAAGCAGGCTTCCCTGAGGTGGCCCGCATGGTCAGAGAGAGCCATGGAGAGACGAGGAGCCCAGAGAATCGGTGAGGGGAAGCCTTTGTCCATATCCATCTTTCAGTATGTTCTGCCCTTCCTACCTACTTCACACCAGAGGCCCCAGAACAGAGCTGAAAGTTTTTCTCCCCCATTCCCCAGTGCAGGCTGATAAGGCAGTGTAGTAGAGTGATTATGAACATGGCGTTCCCTGGATTTAAATCCTGACTCTACTTACTTGGGCAAGCAACCTAATGTCTGTGGGCCTCAGTTTCCTTTTCTGAGAAATGGGGGTAATAAGAGTACCTTTTCATAGGGTTGTTAGAATTAAATAGGTTAATATAAAGTGCCAGAACAATGCTTGCCACATAGTAAGCACTATATAAATATTAGCTGTAGTCATTATTATTCTTCCCTCGCCCAAGAGCCTTATAAGGCCTGATTACCATCTTTTCTCTCAACTATTTCTCTCTGGGTCCCTCATTGCTAAGTGGGGAGGAAAGCAATTCGTTCCTTAGCAGAAAGACTGGAAGGACCCTGTCCCACCCTGACACCCCTCTCAGGCCTCAACCCTTCCCCTGCCCTCAACCCTTTCTCTTTTTCCTCTGCAGGGCCCAATCCCCTTCCCCCCAGTACTGTGAGACCTGTGACGCCCACTTCCAAGACTCTAACCACCGCACATCTACTGCTCACCTGCTGTCACTGTCTCGGAATCTCCAGCCCCCCAACCTGCCCCTTGGGGTGCCCACCTCCAGCCCAGGCTTCAAGATGCTGCTGAGGGAGGGCTGGGAGCCTGGAATGGGGCTGGGACCCCGGGGCGAAGGCCGCACCAATCCCATCCCCACTGTCCTCAAGAGGGACCAAGAAGGATTAGGGTACAGATCCGTGCCCCAGCCCCGAGTCACACACTTCCTGGCTCGGGATACCCGGGCTGTGGCTGGGAGAGAGAGAGCCCCTCGGGTGATCACACTGAGTCGGAGGGAGGAGAGGAGGCAGGAGGAGAAGGACAGGGCCTGGGAGCGGGATCTGAGGACATACATGAACCTTGAGTTCTGACCTTAGCAAGATCTGACCCTGGGCTGCTGCCAAAGTCTGAACTTGTGCCTCTGACCTGGGCACTTTGGCTTCTACTTCCTACAGTCTGCCCAAGTCCTAGACCCTTAGGTTTTCGTCAGTGGGCTCTGCCTTTGGGAGAGAGGGACTGAGAGTTGAGAAATAAATCAACCTTCTCCTTCTTTTGTGTTTTATTCACTTTTCTGGAAGCTGTTGCAGGGAAGCCAAATAAGTCTGGGGGCCGCATGGAAGTTTCACCTGAGCCAGAAGGGGCAGCCCCTCCAGGTGGCATGAGAGGGTCTCATCTCTGCCAGTCTGGTTCACTTCCAATTCCTAGCCCCTGTCTGGAGTGCCCAACCGATTCTTTCAACCCCCTGACCAGGAATTGCCCAGCTCTATGTCAGTCTCATCTCCCCCAGGAAGGGTCCCTGACCACTCCAGCCAATTCAATTATGATTTTACAAACAAGTTCATATACTTTGTGCTGAGCATAGGAATAAGAGACACTCCCAACCTTCAAGTTGCTCACAGCTGGAGGAGGAGACAGCCATGGGTTCAAATACAGTGCACGGTGATAGGGGAAGTCAGGGAAAGCTCACAGAGGTGATGACAGCGGGTAGAGTCTTGCAGAAGAGGACAATGTGGTGGGAGGGCCTAAGATTATACAGCCTGTATGCTGTTAGCTGAGCTGGGACCAGAACTCTGGCCTCCCAAATCTAAACGTTAAGCCAAGGTTCTTCATTTCACTACCTGAAAATTGCTAAGGGCAGGAAGCACATCCTATTCATCTACACTTGTCTTTGCCACACTCCTCTCTTCCTCCCTTGTGCTGTTTATACCAGGTGCCAGGCATGTGAAGAGCTCATTGTTGTCAAATCCAGGAAGTAAAATCTGTGTATGGAGGGGCAGGGAAGGGCTACTCAAGTCCCAAGACTTCTCTCACAGCTTTCTTTTCTGGAGAAGCCTTTCATGAAGTCATGGACAAGAGGAGGAATGGTGGGGGGGTGCAAGGAAGAACTGAAGGGCAGGGAGCTAAATGAGGGGCAGACGAGTTTAGGGGAGAACAGACGGCCCAAGGGCCTCTAGGCGAAAATGGACGGGGGTGGGGTTTATAGTGGGCTCTGGCCCTCGCTGATCTCGGCTCCGCGCCCCCGAGTACGGTGCGCGCCAACGGCGCGTACTGGCGGCGCGGGGGCGCGGGGGGCGGTCGATCCGCAGGGGCCGCCCCGCGAGCTGCGGGCTCCGCCCCTGCCTGTCCCTCTAGTCCCGGTGCAGCTGCTTCCGGGCTCTGCGGCTCCGGGCGGCTCCGTGAGGCCGCGGCCCCGATGCTGGGCCCGGGAGGGGCCAAAGCGCACAGCGCCCGGGCGCCTGGGTCCCCAGGCAGGTCCGCGTTTTGCCTCGCGACCGGGATCTCCGAGGACATCTCCGGCCTTACCTTCCAGAGACCGCATTTCAGCTGCGTGCTCGCGAGCCGGTCGGGCCGCTTTGTAGGATTCGTAGCCCTCTAAATCAAGAGGCGAACGCTGCTGGCTGGAATTTGCTGGACACCTCTCCCCAACTCCTCAACCGGAGACTTCCTATTCCTGAGCTCCCTTAGGGCAGCAGTTCAGGACTCCCCAGATCGGGAACACTTAGGACCCGGGGCCACCTTCCTTCCTTCCTTCTTGGATGGAGTACTGCCTCCCCAGTTTCTGGGGCACCTTGGGGCTTGGCCTTGGTGAGTGAAACTTGGGGTGCTGCCTGCTGGGAAGGAAACCCGAAAACACAGTGAGAACACTGTGGGAGTGATCCAAACCTTGTCAGATCCTGAGACTTTTGGAATCCTGTGTGGGTTGTAGTGGTGGTGGTGGTGAATGAATTTGGATGTGCCTCTCTTCTTTACCTCAAAACTGAAAAGGAAACGAGCTGCCTGCCACACTTGAAGCTGTGTGACCATCCAGGGAAGTGGGGAACCACTTCTGAATTCAGAGTAGGACTCATCAAGCAGATACTTGTTCTTCTGAGCCTGAAAAGACTGGCTTCTGAGGAGTCCTTCAGCCCCCAAACCTGAGAGTCTAAGCAGTGCCAGGAAGCAGCCCCAGAATTTGGGGGCTCATTACACACCCCAACCATGTTCCTGCGACGGCTCAGTGGGTGGCTACCTCGCCCCTGGGGCCGCCGGAAACCAACAAGGCCTGATGTGCCTGCCCCAGAACTCAGACAGGTGGACAGCTCCTCTGAGAATTCAGGGAGCGACTGGGACAGTGCCCCAGAAACCATGGGAGATGGAGGGCCTCCCAAGACCAAGGACCCAGGGGCGCAGAGGAGCTCTGGGGCTGCTGCAGAACCAAGCAAGGAGTCCCAAGTTGAGCAACTGGGGAGCAAAAGAACAGATTCCTTCAAGTGGGACAAGACTGTCTCTAGCACTCGAGAGTCTGGGAGACTGGAGTCTGGAGGGGCCATTCCCAAACTGGGATGGGATCCTGTGGACTCAGGTGGCACCAGACCTGGAGTGTCCCCTGAAGAGCGACTGAGCACCTCTGGGCCTGAAGCCACGGTGGAGAAGCCTGGCCGGCGTCAGAAGCTGCTAGGCTGGCTGCGAGAACCAGGTGGAGGAACAGGGGCTCCCTCGAAGTTCCTGGGGGGCCCAGAGGAGTGTCTGCAGATCTCTACCAACCTGACCCTGCACCTGCTGGAGCTGCTGGCCTCAGCCCTGCTGGGGCTGTGCTCACGGCCACTGCGGGCAGCCTTGGACGCATTGGGCCTGCGTGGACCGTTGGGCCTCTGGCTGCATGGGCTACTGTCCTTCTTGGCTGCCCTGCATGGGCTCCACGCCGTGCTGAGCCTACTTACTGCTCACCCCCTGCACTTTGCCTGCCTCTTTGGTCTCCTACAGGCCCTGGTGCTAGCTGTCAGCCTCCGGGAGCCCAGTGGGGATGAGGAGGCCACTGACATGGAGGATGAGAAGTTGGGGAAGGAGGGTGAGGAGCAGAGGGGAGACCCAGGAAAGGGGCTGTGACCTCGGGGTGGGCTGTGACCCAGGGCCTCATCCTCAGTAGGGTGGGAGCGAGGGTGAAGACAGAGTGGCCTTTAGGAGGAGAGTGGGGGGCATGACCCAAATTGTAAGCACAGGGACCTCAGGGATGGGGAAGAAACCACAGAGTATGAGGGCACAGGGCATCTCTTCACACACAGGAGAGAATAGAGTTTAGGGTGTCTGTGTTTATGGACAGTGGGGGCATCGCCCTTGAATTCACCAGCTATTGTTACTTTTTGCTTTTACATTTTTCTCACCTCCAGTTTTTGTTTTTCCACCGTCACTTTTTAAAAGCCAAAAAAAAAAAAAAAATGTATGGTGGTGGAAAATAAAAACTAAAGAGTCCTTCCTCCCTTTCAGAACTCCCCAGGGGTGGAGGAGACCAGAGGCAGGACAGACAGACCTCTGGCTGGGGTAAGAGGGTGGCTGAGAGATCCAAGGGATACCTTGGATCCTGGGATCTGAGCCATCTGGAGAAGAGTGGGGCTGCTAGGCGGGTGGATTAGGGGGTCTGGATGGGGACCCACAGGTGACGGAACCTGCAGGGAGGATCTGGGGTGTTCCTGGGGAGCCAGAGAAAGTGGGGATGGTGCAGGCAGTATTGGCAGGAAGGCCAGTTCAGAAGGGCTGGCAGCCCAGACCAGCAGTGTGGGGAAGCACTGGAGCTTGCAGTCCCCACTCGGGGGTTAGGGGTTTGCTCACTCAGCAATAAATAACTGTGTCACACCAAATCCTAAATATACCACTACAAAGCAAGAGTTACCACCACTCAGTGTCCTTCCTGACGCCGTCCAGCGGGGGGTTTAGGTGGTAAAAGGTCCAGGGTGAGTATTGAAATGGGAGTAGTGGGATTGATGTCTGGAGACAAACTCCAAAATGAGATAAGGGTTGAAAAATCATTTTTATTATACTTGAAAGGGAGTTGGAAGTCTCCAGCTTCTCCTTCTTCCACCACAGTCTCAACTCCCACCAAATCCATCAGATGAAGCCATAGGTCAGTTATTGGAGAGCTCGCAGGCCTCTGGTGCGAAGGAGGAGAAAAGAAAAGGACGGAAAAGAAGGAAATCCAGGGGGAGAAGCAAGGTTGGTGGTAATGGGGTAGGGTGAATGCGTTCCCTCATTCCCCTGTATCAAGAAGGGGTCTCAGGCCTTTTTCCCTCTGTGCCTAACCCTCTGCCTTTTATCCACTGCAAACTCAGAAAGCTCTCTTTTGAGTAGCCCAGAGCCCCTCCTGGCTCCCTCAGGTGACATCACAGTTCTTGGCCACATCCCTCTGGTGCCATTACAGCCTATCACACAAATGGAGGTGTCAACACAGCCATTCTGATGATATCAGCCTTTGGCCATGCCCTCCGGTGACATCACTTGAGTCCCTTTCATCCAGCACCCTCAGAAGACTTGGTGAGTCCTAGTCCTCTTCTGTGGGACTTTACCCCTCACCTTGATTCCTGGGAGTCAGTAAGAAGGCCTTGGAGTCCAGGCAGGAGGTCAGGGACTGGAATTCCTCCACACACTTCTCAGGAGGGTGTGGCGAGCGATCTGGAAGAGCAGAGCAGGGCCAGGGCCATCGAAGCCCCTGCTTCTCAGCACCACCCCTGGTGAGGACCTCATGGAAGCACCCACCCCTTCCTGGGATGATGTCACAGGGCCCAATTGAGGGGCTCTCCTGTCCTGTGTTCCCCTTCCTGCCTAGTATCCCCACTCACTGTAGAGGAGGAAGCGCTGGTAACCCTGGCCCGTCTCTTTCAGCATGATTCCACCTGGGCACGAGCTGGAGAAGAGCTTGGTCTTCATGTCCGGCCGGCCTGTCAGAGTGGGTGGGGAGAAGTGTGAGGACAGAGATGTGAAACCAAGCAAGCCAAGAGGACTTGGGATGAGTGAGGACTGAAGAGAACCAACCTTCGGTTCTGAGATCTGTGCTCCCCTCAGTCAGGTGGTAAATCCATTTCCGGGGCACACACAACCCATTTTTCCTGCAGAGGTGGTAGTGGCAAGGAGGAAAGACTGAGTGACACCCCATCCACACAGTACCAGCCTCTATTTATTCCTTATTCCTTCTTGGAGCCTGGGTCCCTCTGGGTTTCAAGCTACCAAGGGATGGTTAGGCCCATTTCTCTCCAGAGGGAAAGTAATAGAGCTGTTGAACTCAGTGGGCCAAGAATTGTG